ATATATTTCCATATATATATATATATATATAAAATATATGTGTGTATATATACATATAATTTTATATATGTAATTTTAAAAAATTTGCTAGAGGGTGCATATACTCACCAAAGATAGACAGACAAAAAGAGAGGAATGGAAAACAAGAAAGCACCCCTAGTCAGGGAAGATGGCCACTTCACAATCTTGGCTCTATTCTTCTCTCAGGAGATTTTGGGCACACACATGCACACATGTCCCATGTGTTTTTCAAGTCACCGGGTCAGGGATTCAAACCACACAGTTGGCCATGTGAGATCCAGCCACTTTACCCACCACACCACCAACTGGCCATGAGTTTATATAACTAATCTCATGGAGGGGCCTAAATGAGATACACCCCTTTCCTTTCCCATGATCTAAAACCTGAGATTGGCAAATGCTTTTTTGTCGAGGGCTGATTGCCCATTTGTTAAGTGTTATAAGCCACACACAGTGTCTGTCAGAATTCAACTCTGTTGTAGCACAGTGTGGAAAGAAATGAATGTGTCTATGTTACAATTAAACTCTACTTACGCACACTGAAATCTGCATTTCATGTAGTTTCCATGCACCATAAAGTATTCTTCTTCTTTTGATTGTTTTCAACCATTTAAAAATGCAAAATCTCTTCTTGTCCTGAGGCTGAATAAATAGGTGGCTGGCCTCGTTTTGTGAACAGGGCATTGTTTGCCTGATCTACAACAACTGACAAGTGAGAGGAAGGCAGAAGGCAAAGAGTAGCAAAACCTCATCGTTAATGCTGGTGACACCCCCACGGAGGATATGGGCAAGGAAATGCCAGCTTCAGACGGACTTAGGGCCCTCTTTATCCACTGGTTCTGCATTTGCAGATTTAACCAACGGTGGACTGAAAATATTTCAAAAATTAAAAAGTGAAAAAATAATAACAACTATTTTTAATGCTACAAATAAAAAAACAATACCATACAAAACTTTTTCTTTCTTTCTTTCTTTTTTTTTTTCGTGTGTGTGTACGGGGGCTGCCATAGGGTGCATGCACTCACCAGAGAGAGATTGATTCAGAGAGAGGGAAACTAAGACACCACCCCCTAAATGAGATGTCCATACCCCCACCCCTTCTCCTTGGTTCTCCTCATGGGAATTTGGGCACACAAGCACATGTGCCCAGCATGATTTTCTTTTTATTTTTTCTTAGGGAGGTTTTTTTTGCTACAGGGCATATGCCCTTGCCAGAGAGACAAAGAGAAACAGAGAGAGAGAAAGCAAGTAATCGCCTTGCAGGGAGGATAGCCACACCTCAATCCCTTCTCCATTCTTTTCCTCTTGGGATTTTGGGTACACATACACAAGAACCCAGCATGAGCTGCAAGTCTCCAGGTCTGAGACTCAAACCACAGTTGGCCATGGAGGAATCCAATGACATAACCATCATGCCATCTGCCAGTCCCAAACCAGCATGATTTTCAAGTCACAGGCCAGGTCTGGGACTCTAACCATGATCAGCCAGGGGGAAGTCCAGTGCCTTAACCACCACGCCACCTGCTGGCTCCCAGCATAATAACTATTTACACAACATTCACATGGTGTGAGGTATTATAAGTTATCCAGAGATGAATTAAAGTATGCAGGAGGATAAGTATTTGCATAAGTTATATGTAAATGCTATGCCACTTTATATAAGGCACTTGTCATCTGTGGATTTGGATATTTATGGAGATCATGGAACGGATCTTCCAGGTATTCCAAAGGACATCTGTTTCCACAAGGTGTGCAACCATCACTACTATCTAATTCCAGCGCTTTTTTTTTTTTTTTTTTTTGAGAGGTTTTCGCTATAGGGCGTGTGCGCTCACCAGGCAGACAGAGAGAGACATAGAGACAGAAAGCGAGAAATCACCCCCCAGGGGGGATGGTCACGCCGCAATCCCTTCTCCTCCATTCTCCTCTTGGGATCTTGGGCATGCACGTACACGCGCCTGGTGTGAGTTTTAAGCCACCAGGTCTGGGACGCGAACCGCGGTCGACTATGTGGGAGTCCAGCGACATAGCCATTATGCTACTTGCTGGTTCCCATTCCAGTGCATTTTCATTTTCCCGGAAAGAAATTCCAGATTCGTAGTCTCTCATTCCCAGCTCTCTTTAGCCCCTGATAACAGTCAACTGTTCATCTACTTTCAGACTCTATGGATTTGCATATTCAGGCAATATGCAAACCCTTGATTTACAGTGGGATTGTAGGCCAATAAAAGCCTTCCTAAGTTGCAGATATGAAGTAAAAAAAATGCATGAAATCAGATGCTCCTTGACCAATGGCATGATGGTTGCTACACAGGGGGTATTGCTTTTCGCACAATTGTAATGTTAAAAGAGAAGTTGAGCCATCATAAATTGGGGAGCATCCGTATGTGTGCTCAAGGTTTAACCTTGTTGCAGTCGATATGGGTACTCCACTCCATTTCACGGCTAACTAATGTCTCACTGAGCAGACACACCACATTTTGTCCACTTTGTTGGACGTTTGGCTGGTCTCTGCTGTTTGGCTATTGTAAATAATGCTGCTGTGAACATGTGTGCACAAGTCTTTGTGTGAATTACTGTTTTCAGTTCTTTTGAGTATGGTAGAATGCATCTTTCAGTTAAATGTACTAAATGAAAAAGTTTGAGAATGTATAAATGGTAAGTACATAGAAAAGTTTTTTTTAAAAAGTGAAATTTAAAAAAAAGGGGGGGAGAAATGTTTACCCCAAAAAAAGCTGTATAAAAAGAAATGTATTCACAGTTTACTTCATGGCTTAGCTACAAATAACATCCATGGTAACATAAACACTAATTATCTGAATAAAAATGGAAGCATAACTACTTTGGAAGGAAGAGTATGTATGTTTGTGGCAAGGAGGGGGAGGCAGAAATGAGCTCCTGCAATATGCACCACAATCATTCTTTTTAAAAATGTTTTGGTTATTGCCAGAGAAGGGCACGTGTGCTCTCCATAGAATAAGAGAGAGAGAAAGCAGCTGCCCCACTCTTCAATGGGGTGTGATCAAACCACAATCCTTTCCTTCCATTTCTCCCTCCCATTAGGATTATGGACATGCACATACATGTACCTAACGTGATTTTCCATTCTCCAGGCTGGGACTCAAACTGGGGTCATCCATGTGGAATCAGGTTCCTAATGCACACTTAACCACTGCACTATGGGGTCAGCCCTGTACCATATTTTTTGAGTAATCAATGGAGCAAGAAAACTGAGTAGAAAAATGAAAACTCAACTTCTCCTACTAACGCTCACAACACAAATCACTTCTGTGATCCAAAATGTGGGGACTTTCTCTCCATTAGCAAGCAGGCACTTCCACAGTGGACACTAGATGTCCTGTAATCTAACCCCTCTTTGACACCATGTACCTAAAAGTAGTGCCACACCTCACAGATCGCGGGCTCAGTCCCACAGGACTGTCCTGCTTCAGAGGTTAGTCCCAAGGCCAGACCTCTGGAACTTCTGACCAACTGGCTACAAGTTGAAGTTCCCATGACCCCCACTTTAGGCTCAATTCATTTGCTAGAGCAGGTCACAGGACTCAGGAAATACTTATTTACATATGTGAGTTTATTATAAAGGCTATTCCAACAGAAAGAAATAAATAGCCAGGCAAAGAGGTACGTAGGGTGAGGTAAGCACAGGGGCTTTCATCCTGTCTTCTCAGAGTCTCCTTAGCTTCTCTATACAGAGTCCTTCCTCCCAGCCATGGAGCAGGACTCCATCTAAAATGAGGGTCTTGGGCCAGCAGGTGGCATAGTGATTAAGGCACCGGACTCCCACACGGTCAACCATGGTTCAAGTCCCAGATCCAGAAGCTTCAAACTCATGCTAGGTGTATGTATGTGTGTGCCCAAAATCCCAAGAGAATGGGGGAGAAGGGATTGTGGCATGGCCATCCCCCAAAGGGTCATTTCTCACTTTCTCATTCTTTTTCTCTCTGGCAAGCACATGTGCCCTAAAGCAAAAATAAATAAATAAAACCTATCTCAATGAAAATTAATTGTAATTCATTGTAGAGGACTTCACATGGTCAACTATCAAGCCTCAAGCCCCAGACCTGGTGGCTTGAAACTCATTGTGGGCGTGCCCAAGATCCCAGCAGGAGAATGGAGAAGAGATTGTAGTGTGGCCATCCACTTCAGGGTGATTTCTCACTTTCCTTTTCACTGTCTCTGTCTCTCTTTCTCTGGGGAGCACACATGCCCTAAGGCAAAAACTTCTAAAAAAAAACTAATTTAAAAAATTAAAAATAAATGAACAAATAAAACCAGGGTTTTTTTTGTTTGTTTGTTTGTTTGTTTGTTTTTTATGGCTAAGTCCAACACAGAAAGGCTGGGGAGGATTACAGAATAATCATGATTTCTATGGCCTGACTTAGGGGACTTTAGGAACTGAAGACAAAGACCGAAGAGTTAGAAGCCAGGAATTGTAGATGAAAAAAATATATATTACACAAATATATAATCACAAAATATTACACTTGCATATATATGTATAAGAGAGAGAGATCATACAAACAAAAACATTAGAAAGGATGTAAGAGATTTAAAGACACGAGCAGGAAGTCTGGTGTAACAGAAATACGTAAAACCCTGGACCCAACGATTAGGAAATGTGCACTTTATACAGGCAGACCGGGTCGAATTTGGAAAATGTGCTATACCAGAATACTTTGGAGTCATCAGAGACAACGTAAAGACCCAGATGATAGAACTGGTAACGTAGCTACTGTTTTTCATTTTTACTAAAATCCTTAGTACATCAGCCTAACGTTCTACTATTTTTAATATATGCAACATGTTAACATGCAGAAAAAACATCGTCGACCCAGAAGATCCCCGATGTGCCCGGCTGACGCTCACAGGCCGAATGATCGCGGTGTCTCCAGAAGAAGTAGAATTTGCCAAGCAAGCCGTGTTTTCAAGGTTTGTGGATGCATGAAATTCCATTTGCCCAGAGTTATGTAGTAATAAAAGGAGAGGTCAGGGCTGTGTGTGTATGTGTGTGTGTGTGTGTGTGTGTGTGTGTGTGTGCGTGCACGCATTTACATGCATGATTTCTAATCTCTGCTATCATTTTTTAAACATCTTTTATTGCCAAAGAGTATGTGTGCTTGACAGAGAGAGACAGAGAGAGACAGAGAGAGCACCCCCATGGGTGTGGGCACAGCGCAGTCCCTTTTCCTCCATTTCTCCATCCCCTCAGGATTCTGGGCGCACGCACACACATACATACAAGGCACTTGACATTGTTTTTCAAGATGCTGGGGCTGGGATTCAAACCACGGTTGGCCATGTGAGTAATAAAAGGAGAGGTCAGGGCTGTGTGTGTATGTGTGTGTGTGTGTGTGTGTGTGTGTGTGTGTGCGTGCACGCATTTACATGCATGATTTCTAATCTCTGCTATCATTTTTTAAACATCTTTTATTGCCAAAGAGTATGTGTGCTTGACAGAGAGAGACAGAGAGAGACAGAGAGAGCACCCCCATGGGTGTGGGCACAGCGCAGTCCCTTTTCCTCCATTTCTCCATCCCCTCAGGATTCTGGGCGCACGCACACACATACATACAAGGCACTTGACATTGTTTTTCAAGATGCTGGGGCTGGGATTCAAACCACGGTTGGCCATGTGAAATCACGCTCCCTTAACCACTGGGCTACAAGACTGGCCTTGCAATCATCCTTTAGTTTCTCCTCCTCTCACCTGTTATGACAGGCAGTGAGAAGAGACCAAACTTTAGCTAGATCATTGGATTCCTTGGCTCATTTCCTATTTTCCAAATTAGTATAAGCAATAGTGTTGCCAGGTCTGCTGCCCCTACACAACCTGGTCCCCGCCTCCAGCTCCCAGTGCTCTTCCACTGTCTGTCTCCTTGGGTCCTTCCAACTGCCACCCACTGTCTAGTCGTAAACCAGTGCCCCATGAGAGTAGGGTTTGTTACTCCTGCGCTCCCCTTCCAAGGACTCGTCCATCAGTTCCAGTTATCAGTATAAAACTAGGTTGCTTATAGTAACAGCCTTCATTTTAGCATCTGGGCTACAGGAATATATGGAGTGTCGGGGCGTCAGATCAACAACTTACTTTCTGATGGTTTAGGAAAAGCAGAGTGTTCTTTTTCTTATCATTTTCATTTCTCTGTTTATAATTATTTTGAAATAAATACTTTTTTAAAGATTGTCAACCCATGATTGCATTTGCTTTGTTGCAAATATTTTTTTTGATTTGCACTTGGTGTTTGAATTAAGTGTATAACATTTTTAGATACAAAGAAAAAATTTTAATGAAATTTAAAAAAAAAATAGTGAGTCACAGCCCCTGCCCTCGAGGGTTTCACAGTGTTTAGGGGCAAGTGTGTAGGAGAGGGATGGCAGATGGCGAAGCCAGAGGGGAGCACATTGCTCACGCTGGCTGGTTCTCAGCATGGCTCCGCAGTTCTAAGCTTGTGGGAATAGAAATCTTCCTGAGCAGACGTGTTTCCTAGCTCACCATTCTGTTAGCATAGAGCTGGCTTTTTGGGTTTTGTTTGCCATTTTTTTTTTTTTTTTAGATTTGCTAGAAATTTGCCACATGTGCTCACCATCACCACAGAGAGAGAGAGAGAGAAAGCACCCCCTTGGGATGTAGTTACACATCAATCCCTTCTCCTCCATTTCTTCATCCTTTCAAGATTTGAGCCACACGTACACATAAGCCTAGTCAGTTTTTCAAGCCACCAAGCCCAGAAATTGACTCTCTCAGTTGGCCATGTGGAAGCAGGCTCCTTAACCACTAGGCCGCAGGCTGGCCCATGAAGTCTTTATGTTTCCTACTAACAGCAGCCGGGATGCACTGAGCACTCATTGAGTGCAGGTGTTTTGTGTGTGCCTCACTGCTGCCCACACACGACCCTGTGATCCCAGCACCCAGCATCACCCATTCGACAGGTAAGGAGGCTGGGGCCAGAGCGTGCCAACAACCATGAGGCATCAGAGATCATCAGTAGCTGAAGTGGGATTCAAACAGGGAGTCTGTTCTCAAGACTTCAACTCATAGTCGCTCAAGTGTAGGGGCCATCATATCCTGCCTTTCCTAAGCTTGCCCAGGTCCTGATACCCAGTCTCTTGGCTTCTGCTTGTGACCAAGTTGAGCGGCTCTCACCCAACCGAGGCCTCTGGTTTGGAGGTTATATGACCAGGCCCAGGGTTCCCCCCTCTGCTAAGAACAGCTTCATGGCACTCCCCCTTTATTCCTGCAGGTATCCAGGGATGAGGAAGTGGCCTCGCCAGTATGAATGGTTCTTTATGAAGATGCAGATAGAGCACATCTGGCTTCAGAAATGGTATGGAGGAGTAGCCGACATTTCAAGGGAGGAATATTTCAAAGCAGTTCCCAGAAAGGCCTGATGGAGTATGAAGAAAGTCTTCAGTGTTTGCATTCAAATGAAAACCTTTGAAGTGATGCTGTGGGACAGCCATTGACTGCTGTCTCTCTGTTGAAGGGTTCACAGCAGCCTTGTCACGAGAGAGGGTGCACAGGGCAGCCTGTGCTAGGTTTGAGTTTAAAGTGGTCACTGGCAGGTCCCCAGTTCACACAGGCACTTCACACACAGTCTTTGTTTACATTGTGTTCAACCTAGACTTGCCTATTAATATTGGAGAATCATTGTCGGCTGTCAGAATGACACACTGACACCACTTCCGATCCATTCTCTAAGGAGGAAAAAAATTTGCCTGTACATGCAATGTGATTGTTTTGTATTGTGAGAGTAGTCTTCTTGCTTGCTGTACCAGCAGGGTCTTGGTTCTAAGCCCATGGCAACCTCGAGGGCGATGCAGTGCGGCCACTGCACTGTGTTCAGGGGAGGCTGGAGGGCTGTTTGTCTGTGGATTCTCATCATGCTGCTGGATTGCAGTGCATTCCTCAGTCACATTTGCTAGACTGTACTGGCCACCTATGGAGCTTTTTAGTCCCTCACTGTAACATGAGAACAGCATAAGAACGCCCCAAGCTTTGTGCCCAGCCCTGTTCTGTGTAAGCAGAGTCATGGTAGCACATTAAAGATGAAGAAGAGGCTTTGGCATTGGGCTCCCCAGGCCCCCACTGCTCACACTTCTGACAAGAGTTCTCTTCTCACGTGCATGAGGAGTGGAATCTAAAATAAGAAGCACCTCATTCTACAGCGTACAAGGAGGAGAGGGGTGAGGGAAAGCTGGAAAAGCAAAGGTCACATAAAAAAGAAGAAAGGAAAAAAGGTAGTAACTGAGGGCCTGCTCACGTCCCAGCCATGGGCCAGGTCCTGGACAGAGGTCATCTCACCTAAGCCCTACGACCAATGAGATGCATGCCATCATCGCCACTTACAGACAAGAAAACTGAGGCTCAGAGAGTCTGGGCCAACATTCCAAGGCCTGTCTCCAGCACTAACTGCACACAATGGACCGAGGGGCACCTAGAAGTCTTGAAATGCACAGGTAGAAATCAAACCAGGAAAATCTGGAAAGTGATTTTAAAAGAGGATGATTAACTTTCCTGGAGTTGATTTGTCACTATTTTTGGGGAGAGGGTACAACCTCCAAAATGTGATTCTTATTAATACTACAGATTTAAATTTTTCTACAAATTATATGTAGGTGTTTGCAAGAAACCAGATTGTACTGTGTACTCATCTAAGGCCTACATGAACTTGTGTGTACACATCTGAGACCTCTTATAATGAAAACCTATTAAGGATCTACCAGTACTTAAATTTCCTGTTTTTCTAAAATGCCTGAAAACTCTTTGGTAAGTTAAGTATCTTCTATAGCATAAAGACACACCACTAAATACAGGAAATATACATTTTTTAAAATAAATAAACACAGTGTTAATGGTTATACTTTTGTTTAACAAAATAAGACATGAAGAGAGTTTGCATTGTTAGAATATATTTTAACTTACCTATTACTAAAACACAGTAAGATGCACAGAATTTTTTGTCGTAATCCAATTCTCAAAAGAATTCCTAATGATGGTGATTTAATACTGAAGAATAGGGTACTTTTGAGGGTATTCATATTTTAGGAGTTTAACATTATTTGTTACCCCCAATTTAGAGGAAAAGGGGAAAAGTTGGAAGAATGACCTACATGCTCAAAACTACTTCATAAGTCAACCTCAAACTTTAATTCTTGGAGCATCACTGCCTCTTTCTTGGTTCTACAGATAACGCTCCTATGCTGGGTTTGCTTTTATAGACAGAATTCATTTAGCTCATTAAAGGTCACTGCTTCTTCGAACGGCTTTGCAAAATGAGTACCATTTGTAACCACCAATGAATATTATCAGCTACTTATTCAAATTACAGGAAATGGAATCTGAACAGGTTGGGTGATAAGAATAGTGTTTAAAATGTATACTTTTGAGTCTGATGGTCCTCATTCAGGCAATTATGTTTTGGCAAATCTCTAGAAATTTACATTGATTAAAATTTTAAAGACTGTAGTTATTGCAGTAAGACAAGAAAATAAGTAAAAAAACATACATAATAGAAAGAAAGAAATGAAATCATTCCTATTTATAGTTAACACAATTTTCCACACAAGAAATTCCAAACAACCTATTTTGAAAAACAAATAAGCAAACTCCTAGAACTAACAAGTGACTGCAGCAAGGTCTCAGGACACAGGATTAGCACACACACAAAAAAAATTCAATCACATTTTTGTATGCTAACAATGAACATGTGGAAACCAATACTAAAAATATAACACCATTTACAATCACTCCTCCAAAAAATTAAATACTTAGGTATAAATTTAATAAAACATGTACAAGATCTATTTGCTAAAACTTTCTATTGCTAGTAAAAGAAATAATAGACCTTAAAAAACGAAGAGCAATACCATGTTCATGGAATGGAAAACACAAAACAGTAAAGATGACAATCTTCCTCAAATTGATCTCTAACTTTAATGCAATTTCTTTAAAAATCTCAGCAAGGTGTTTGTAAACATATTTTATTTTTAAAAATAAAAAAAAAAACCCACAGGCTTTAGAATAGCTAAAGCAATCTTGTAAAAGAACAATAAAAGAAATCACTCTACCCAATACAAGCAGTTATCATATAGCTATAGTACTCAGTACAGTATGATACTAGTGAAGGCATAAATATATAGACCAATGGAATAGAATACAGAATCTAAAAATAGGCCCATGCCAAATATTCAGTTGATTTATTTACAAAGGTACAAAGTGACCAACAGAATAAAAATATTCTTTTCAATAAATGTGCTGGAACAAGTAGAAATCTATAGATAAATGAACTGAACCTCAAACTAAGCTGTATACCTTGTACAAAAAGTAAGAGATCATATCCACAATCACAAATGTAAACCCATAAGATAATAGAAAATCTTTGGGACCTAAAGCAAAGAATGATTAGATTTGGAATCAAAATCATAATCCAAATAAGGAAAATCTGATAAATTAGACTATATCAAAATTGAAAACTTTTTCTCTATAAAAGATCATCTTAAGAGGATGAAAGTATAAGCTACATACTAAGAGAAAAAAATTTGCAAACCAGATATCTGACCAAAAAAAGCTAATATCTAGAATATATAAAGTTCAAAACTCAATGGTTTAAAAAATCCAACTAGAAAATGAAGAACGTGAATAGACAGTTCTCTGGGAAAGATATACAAAGGGTAAATAAGCACCTGAAAAGATATTCAACATCATTAGTTATCAGAGGTCTGCAGACTAAAATGCTCTATCACTATACAGCTACCAAATTGGCTAAAATAAAGTGACAACACCAAATGCTGGCAAGGATACAGAAAAATTAGATCAGTCACTTACTGCTTGTGGAAGCGGGAAATAGGGCAGCCACTCTGGAAAACCATTCAGCAATTTCCCATCAAAGTAAACATGCAACTGCTATACCATCTGGTAACTGTACTCCTGGACATTTATCCCAGAGACGTGAAAACTTAGGTTCACACAAACTCTTGCACATGAATGTTCATACTATTATTCACAATATTCAGAAACTGGAAACAACCCTTAACAAGTAGCTGGTGAAACAAATGGTGGTACATCCACGCCGTGGAATACTACGCAGCAACATAAAGGAACTAATTACTGCTACAAGTTGGATACATCTCTAGAGAATTATGCTAAGAGAAGCCAGACCTATAAGTTTACACACTGTATGATTCCATTTATATAACATTTTAAAATGCAAAATTATAGGATTGGAGAATAGATTAGGAGTGGAGAGAAGAGAGAGAAGACAAAGAAGGGTGGATGTGACTATAAAAGCATAAAACAAGAGATCCTTGTGATGGAAGTGTTTGGTGTCTTGACCAAATCAATGTCAAAATCCTGGTTGTGTTATTGTACTATATAGTTTTGCAATCTGTTACCATTGGGGAAAACGAGGTCAAAGGTACACAGGATCTTTGTAATATGTACAGCTGCATGTGAATGACAATTATCTAAAACTATTTCACAATCTATAATTATCTCAGAGGAAAAAAATTTAATATATACAAGAATTAGGTCTTAGCTTAATTAAGGCACTTACGCTATCTCTCCCACTGGTCCCTAATAAAATGAGGAACTGAAGAACATGCCAAAACCTAGCAGAAAAGAGACAGCATTTGTTGTTAACTATGAGTACATCACTTATAAAGGAGATGTTAAGTCGTCTTTAAAAGTTTTCTTAATGTATTTAATGTTGAATATAAATTAAGAACATTTAACAAATCTACTGCGTAGCTTTTATGTGGGACACCTAGAAGGGAAGAATATCTTCAATTTTCTAACATCAATGTGTTGGCTAAGATATAGCTCTATATAAATACCTAAATCTGTAAATAATGATTCTCCTTTAGAGCAAAGAACTATCTTCCCGGTAATCTTCCTCTGACTGTTCCAGGAAATCATTTATTTCTGTACATAAGCTCACTAAAGTATATTCAAAAAGCTGACTGTGATAATGCATGTCTGTAATCCCAGCTACCTGAGGACTTGAAGCAGGAGGATCACAAGTTTGAGGCCAGCCCAGACCACCCAGTGAGATCATGTCTCTAGGAAAAAAGAAAAAATGTATATATAATATATATCCAGACCTTCATGTTTCTATGTGCAGTGATTGTACACGTCCATGATGTTGACATATAGAATGCAATTCTTATGCTATTTGTTCCAAAATGCCTTGAATATATTGACTGCTTCCAAGAGTTGTTTTTCGTTAGAAATGTATTTCCACAGTTTTGCCAGTCTGCATTTTGTTTTTAACAATTTAACTATCCAATAAAGTTCTGAAAATAAAACCTCTCTAGAAAATAAACCTCTCTTACTGATGCTTACTGGACTGCTGTGAGAGTAAGCGGATTATTGTAACCTTTGAGTTCTAACAACGTCATGATTTGTCTGTGCCGTGGAATGCATGTGAGGGTGAAATCTGTTTCTAAATCTAGATGTCTATTTAAGCAGATTGTTCATTCCTGGTATGATTTCTGTGCTTAGGTAAATGAAATTATGATATTTATAGTCTTTACATGCACTATTAAATTAACTACTGAAGTTAATAAATAAAAATTATTAGATTTCTAAAGAAATAAATGCTATTACAATGAATCAGCAGTTGAATTTCCAGTAGCAAGAAAATAATTAACAGGGCTACTTTTTTGACATGGTTTTTTAAGACTCTTAAGTAACATGCACTTAATTTGTAGACTTGAAAATGCTGATGTCGGGGGACCAGCAGTTAGCGTTATGGCTATGTCACTGAACTCCCATGTGGTCGACCACAGTTCAAGTCCTGGACCCAGTGGCTTAAACTCATGCTGGCTGGGTGTGCGTGCGTGCCCAAGATCCCGAGAGGAGAATGGAGGAGAAGGGATTGTGGCATGGCCATCCCCCCTGGGGGGTGATTTCTCGCTTTCTGTCTCTCTGTCTCTCTCTATCTTTCTGGCAAGTGCACGCACCCTATAGCAACCCCCCCCCCCCAAAAAAAATGTCGGGCCAGATGTGACATTCTGAGAGGGTGACCCACATGGGGAGGTTCTGGGTTTGGATGATTGTCTGGGGCACAATGCCTCTGCCCGGCTCAGGTGGAAGGGTCTAGGGAGTATCACACCAAAATATGGCATCTTGGAGTGTTATTTTAATTTGAAGGTACTTGGGAATCAGCATTTTCTGGAAGAGACTTTCTCTGAAGTTCCCTTATCTACTTAAAATAGGACCCACCAAAAAGCAGTACAATCGTCTTTTATCCCCAACCCATTACTGTTTTTTAGAATTAGTTATTTTTATTTATTTATTTATTTATTTATTTATTTATTTATTTATTATTACTATTATTTTAAATTTTCTGTAGGGCATGTGAGCTCATCAGAAAGAGAGGAAGAGAGAGAGAAAATGAGAAAGTAAACTACCAGGTTTAGGACTTGAACCACAGTTGGCCGTGTAGGAATCCAGTGCTTTCACCAACAAGCCACCTGGTAGCCCTGCAACCCCTGTTATTTTATCAACAAAGAAAGATGAAAACTTGTACCATGGCCTAAACATGGCAGCACAGGTGCACAATGGAGTCATGGGAAACACTGGGTTCAGATCCCAGGTTGGAATGCGTGCATCCAGTGGTGCCCATAATCCTGGATGGCTGAGGCTGGAGGAAGGATCATGGCATGGCAAGCCCCTGTCTGGGGCTTAGATCACAAAGAGACTGAGAGTTAAACACCAAATCCAGAGTCCAGACAAACTTTGTCCAAGCCTTTGTTTCTCCAGCCCACTCATCTCCCCTAAAAAGAATTTATTGTTCCTCTACAATTGCCTCCACCCCCACCACCCTCAGAAAGAGGGTGTAAAGCTTCGAAACCTCACTGGGTTACTGGGCGCTCACCTCTCCAGCCTCCGTATGCACATGATAAATGTGTATGTCTTTTCCCTGGTAAGTGTGCTTTTGTCCGTTCATTTTTCAGACACAAATATCAAACCCCACCAGAGGCAGAGGGAAGGTTCTTTCGCTGGAGACAGGCAGGAGTGGGTCTAGGCTACCCTAGACCTGTGATGGCAGAAGGGGAGATGAGGAAGTGTGAGGCGTGTGCTCAGAGGGGCTGGCAGGCCTCACCACAGCATAGGCGCTGTCCCGGGGAAGGCAGGAAGTGCAGTCAGGGGACCCAGGAAAGCGCAGAGCAACTGTCCACAGATGCGTGAGCTTCCCAGCGCCTGAACAGAGCAAAGAAGTGGTGACGAAGGCCAGGCTGAGGCTGTGGCTGTGGCTGTGGCGGTGGAAGACGGTGGCCGGGTCAGCCAAATGCCCTGGTCAGAGTGAAAGGGAGTGGGAGTGGGCAGGAGACAGCAAGAAGGAAATGGCCCAGTGTGGGTATCGGAGACCTTGGCTAGAGTCAGTCAGGGCTGAGGGTCACGTCAGCTCATGGCCTGGAAGGAGCGGGATGGCTGGGTGTGCTTCCTTCACCTGGAGGAGGAAGGGTTTGTGAAGCACTAAGACAGCGCGATGACAGGCCGGCCCCATGGCTGAGCAGGAATGCGAGACACCAGATCCCTGGCGGCAGAGTTACCCTGAAACTTACCAGGCAGGAGAACTGAAGAGAGGGCCGTAGTGTGACTAGACTCTCTGGAGGGTGCTCCTCTCCCCTCTCTTCTCACACGTGCTCACACGCACTCATAAAGTAGTACCCAAAGATCATAAAACAGAGGGATGTAGTGTGAACTCATGTCTCTGGCCTTGTGAATTTGGGGAATTAGTGAATCTTTTGAATCTCAGTTGCCTCCTGTGTAAAATGAGGTAAGTGTAACATGGCACCTGGCATATTGCAGGGTTAAAGAAATAGTGGGCCTGCCCGGCAGGCCGTGCACAGTAAAATGGTGCCTGGTGAGGCTGAGGCCATATCGGAACAGCCCGGGTCCCCACTGGCAGTCTCCCTGCACAGGGATGTGCCCCAGCTGGCTGAGGCTGGGCATGGATCGTGGCGCGACTGCTTTTCTCTCTGGCTCTCTCGGGGAAGAAATAAACATTAAAAAAAAAAAATTTAATGGCATTCCACTATCTCTCATTTTTGTATTGTATAGAAGTCGTTTATGCTTGTGTTTGTCTCCCCAGCAAGACTCAGGGCTGTCTGGGGGCTGATTTCGCACACAGCCGCATTGTTCTGCAAACTCTGGACACATGGGTGTGGAAAGACGGATGCATGAAATCCTGAGAGCTTGGGCCAGCCGCCCCAGGTCTCTGTT